TCTCCAGGAATTTCCCAACCCAGAGTTGCCAACTCTACATTCTCACTCTACTACAGGAACATTTTTCAGCGTGAGAAGAACACAAGGCCTTAGAATGAATGATGTGTGTATGTTGTCATTCCTTAAGAAACATCTCAATTTTGAAAGAAAGACCCTTTTCCCACAGTTCTATCAAAATGTCCCTTCACTGAGAAAGTTTTCAGTCTAAGCACACTGATCCAGAAGCACACTGATCAAATGTCCCATGGAGGGCTGAGAACGCACCTCAGCTCCCTGGGCATGTTCTGTCCCCTTGTATATCAGCTGCCTTTATTGATGGAGCCTGGTCATGTTCCGGCTATTTTGGGGGGCCCTTTTCCTGGAAACAGCAGTGCGGGCTAGCAGGGAGATTTTAATTTAGCACTTTAATGAATGTTGGGGGAGACGTTTAAAGCCAACGTCACTTCTGCAGATTGAAAAGCTTTCAGGGCAGGTTGGGGGCCGCCTCACTCATTATGGAACTAATCTTTTCCCAGAAGCCTCTTCTGCCTTCTGCACAAACAGGCATTAACGAGCTTGGGAAAGAAGGTGGCCCGGCACAACTTTCACTGCAGAAACACAGGGAGCTAAAGGTTTCCTCAGGCCAGGAAGTGCTTTTGGGATGGAAAGGAATGTCCTTGTGAACATCCCTCATCTTTAGCACTTTCCAAAATTTTCACCCAAATAATTTTTCTTGCTAGCTTCTGATACCCAAAGTGGTAGATTTCTGTGCTTTGTCGGTTTGTCTCTTGCCTTGAAAACTCTATTTTTGGGGGGGGGGGGGGTTTGCCATAAGTCAGCTATGTCCCTTGACCTACACACTCTGGTTCTATATAAAACAGACCCCCTCATACACAAAGTTGCTTCCCATCTTGTCCCACATATGGGATAATAGCAAGCAACTAGGGGTGTGATAGGATTTTTAACAGGGGAAAGGCAGAGTGATACAAAAGTCTCAGATCTTGAATCAGCAATTCTCTGTCACATAGACTGCCTGATCCATCCTTAATCACTGATCCATTGCGTCTTGTCTGATTTGGGGTATGTTCGTGATAACTGGAGAATAAGCCTTAGATGCTGCCCTGTTCTCCCCCCCCTCCCCCATCTGTGAAAGCAAAGAATTTATTTCTGCTCCCTTTAGGGTGAGCTGGCTGATGCCACCTATCACGGGGGGCAAATCATAGCTTGCCTCCGTTCCCCTGCCTGTCAGCATGTACAAAGTCCTTACCTATCAGGTGAGTAGACCCAGAGATCAGACTAGCTTGCGCAAAATGGACCTATGCCAGTGAGATGGTGCAAGGATTGGAAGGAAGAAAAGCTGTGCACAGAAATGCTGATCAGGAGAATTGTGTTTGGTGGGAAATTGGGCTTAACTGTTCTGGATGGACAACATCTCTGTCAGGCACATATCTTTCTATATTACTCTCCTTGTTGCCTTTCCCGCTTCTCAGGAAATGAACCCAGAGCGAGGCATCAGAATAACTATCAGATAGGAAGGGTACTGACCACAAAAGATCATTTTGTTTGGGTTAGGACATGATTCCTAATCCACGTCCATCACAAAAACAGCAACACCAGGCCACCCACAGACAAGGTAGGTGCCTTTATATACTGGTGGAACCGCCTAGGTATGTAAAAAATTATGACTGTACATTATCTAAAAGAAAACGATTTCACCTCTCCAAAAAAATAACCTGATGAGGACTGAAGTTGCTCCTGGAACATGAAATGTTGAGTTTAACAGGAAAGGGAGGAGAAATTAGAATGCTGAAGCCTGTAATAGAATCTTGGATAGGGAGATTTTTGAGGATGAGCCCTCGACTGACATGGTTTGTATCAGATAGTGTTTAGTAAACTTCTGACTGCACATATTTAGTGGAAACATTGGTAGGAAGGAAAAGCTATCAAGCAAAACCTCTTTTGCTGCAAGTTCCATTTGACAACGATGTTTGGAAAATATCCCTGTCAGTTTCATTATCACTCTTTGCCTCCTCTAAAACCAGTGAAATATCAAAAAAGTTAATATTAATTAAACATCATTAGTTTTTCAATTAGCTTTTGTTATAATAATGACAGTAAAAGATGAGACATTTTTGTTTTCTCATTTACTAATAAGGATCTGCACATCCCTACTTGAATCCATGCTAGTGGCCCTCTGGCCTAGTTAATCATTGAGACTGGAAGTTAATTTAAGGGTGCCAAGCAAAAGAATAATAAAATATGCAGGGCTATTGGAAAATAGTCAGGTGTTGATCAAGACTGACTAGGGTGCTTTACATGCCAGAGCTGCAAGAACCCTCATTGTTCAAAGACATTGAGAAAATCATCTTAAATGTCTGAAAATCTAACCTTTAGTTCTTCCACATTTCCCATACCTTCTTGCGTTCCATGGTTCTTCTTCCAATGTTGGCAATGGTGGAAAGTGTCATCAAGCTGCAGCTTTGTTATGACAAGCCCGTAGGGTTTTCAAGGCAAGAGATGAACAGAGGTGGTGTGCCGTTGCCTGCCTCTGCGCAGCGATCCTGATAGTCCTTGGGGGTCTCCCATCCAAGCAGTAACCAGGGCTGCCTATGTAAGTATCCTACCATATTACTCCATGTTTGGGGAAAAGTCAATGAGGGTATCCTTTGTTCAAAACCTCAGAGCACCATTGAACCTTGGGAATGGCCTCTGCTTGTTCATGAAGCATACATAATTTTTCATATTTTCAATTGGTAACCTCATGGGTACCCCAACTGGATGTAGCTTTTTGAGAACTATCTGGCTGCAAGGGGGGGGGGGATTCAGACAGGAAGGACTTCTCTGGATTGCTCCAATGAAATATATGAATACCGTCAAGCCAGGAGGAGTGAAAGGTAATCAGTCACTGCAGGAAAAACGGGACTACGCGATGCTGACATGGAAGCCCACCCATCCTTTAGATAGCAGTCATGTGGTCCAGGCACTTAATTAGAAGCGATTAATATAAATCTGTGGTCAACGTGCAACTCAGAGCAGAGCCACAGCGTCAGGGCGACAGACGAGAAGTCCAGGTACAGTACATTTCCATCTTTCATGTGAATGAGTTAGCAATGTGGCATGAAACGGATTTATTTATTAGATTTATAGCCCTCCCGCCCCTGTACAACAGGGCTCAGAGCAGGTAACAACAGCATTTATATAAATGATACTCGATAATTTTAAAATTATTCAAACAGCTCCCACAATACTACTGGCAACTGGCAAATTAGGATTATTTATTTAGTTATTATTTTCCATTTGTATCCCGCCTTGCCGGTGCAGACTGGCTCACGGCGGCTTACAGAGGTTAAAATACAATAAAATACGATAAAAATTTTTCAATAAGAACAGTTAGATAAAGTGCTAGTGTAAACCGATGGCGGGAATACATAAAAAGGGAAGCACAATATAGTGCCCCTTATCCAGGGGAGAATAGGTATCATACAGAATGGTAAATAGAGAATAACCAACAGGGGAAGAAGAAGGGCAGCCTAGACGGAAACCATCGCTCTCCTCAGCCATAGGCCTGGTGGAACATCTCTGTCTTACACAGGCCCCGTGGAACTGCATTAGATCTTGCAGGGCCCGGATCTCACTGGGCAGAGTTCCACCAGGCCGGGGCCAGGGTGGAAAACATCCTGGCTCTGGCTGAGGACAGCTGGATACTTTTCAGGCCACAGATCATGAGTAAGTTGTTACCCAGTGAGTGTAATGCTCTTTGGGGGGTATAGCAGGGGAGGTGGAGTAATTCCATGTGGTGTAAGGTACCATAGCTCAGCGAAGGCATGGAACAGGTCCCAGGTCCAAACTCTGGCATCTTCAGTTAAACTAAAGGGAGAGCAATCAAAGCAGACAAATGCTAGGCTAAATAAATCCCAAATGGTCTGACTCAATATGGCATCTGCATATGTTCCTATTTGAAGCATGCAAGGCTCTGCTGTATGGGAAGAGAATCAGTTGTGAGGTAATGCTTAGAGGAGGTGTAAGCAACCTTTTTGGATGCCCCCCGATATAATGTCTACTTGTGAAGATATTGTTGTGCTAGCAGACAAAAGGGCAGTGGCAGGGTGGGGGACGAGGATTGGCCAGACCCAGACATGCTCAGAGCAAGCACTTCCGGTGTCTCCGGGATTTACCTTGCACTCAGCTGGTGGCTGTGCAAGTCTGGAAGGTGATTACAGGTGTTAAATCCAGTAGCACCTTAAAAGATTACCAACATATATTTCAACACCAGCTTTCATGAGTCAGAGCCCACTTCACCAGTGTGAAATTATTTCAGGAATTCTTGTAGGGAAAATGAATTCCATGCCTGTTGCTTTCTCCTGTACCCCAGCAGGGCCGCCAGTGCCTCGGTTGCTTGGTTGGAGATCTGTCCCTGGGTGCCAAGCAAAAGTAGTCCAGTGTGCCGCTCATGTGTGCCTACCTTGGATTGCACCAGGATCTGGGAAACCAAGTTCAAGTTTGCTAGATGACCTTGGTCATTGACACACTCCTAGCCTGGGCTACTCCACAGGGTTGTTGTGAGAATAAGATAGGAGATGGAAGAGCAAGGCAAGCCGTCGTGCGTTCCATGGAGGAAGGGCTGATAGCATGAATTAGATGGAAGCAGGGTGTTTTCCTGTGTTTCATCACTTTGCTCTGGAGACCTCTAGTGGATCGAGTGTTGGACACAGAAGGGTCTCCAGAGCAAAGGATGCCACTTCCGCACTATCATTTTTGTCACTAATTTGTCCCTATTGCTTCATGTATCTTCCCCTCCCCAATGTGTTTTACTTTCTGTAGTAGTCCCAGAGGGAGCAAAACACATGTGGAAAAGGGGGGGGGACCCAAAGAAATAGGGGAAAACACATGACAAAAGTGACAGTATGGAAGAGGCATTAATTTGACTTCCACTCCCCCCTCCGACTTATCCTACCACACAGGGCTGTTGCAAAGATAAAACGGAATAACCACCTTCTGCATGATCCCGAGCATCACGGAGGATGACGAAAAAGGGAGAAAAAGAGAGGGGCCCGGGGAAGGAGAGATTTGAGCATGACGTGAGGTTTCCAGTTTGCAGTGAGGTTCTGAAATGCGTCTTACGTAGAGAACGCTTTCCTCTGCAGCAACACGAGGCCCTAAAACATAGTACTATTTAAGCATCCGGCAGGTGAGTCAGTTTTCTAAAGCAAAATCTTGCTAGGGACAGAGAAAATGCAAAAAAAGTTGGCTGATATATCCTGCATGCTACCAGCGAGGTACAAAGAAAGAAAGGGAGGAGGAATCCCACTTAGATCCTTGTAGCCTTCTCCAGAGTTCAGGACGGTTCCTAGAAGGTATTTCTGCTATTGATGGTAGGAGCAAGAACATAGTTTCAGCCTTTGCCTTTCACGGCTCACCACAAGGAGCAGTAGTCCGCAGAGTAGAGAGACCCAAGTTCGATCCCACTTCCTCCTGACTGCACACAAGTCAAGCTGTGCAGCATTGAAAGGGGACATCCCTTTATACCATTCCTTCTGGTGCAGAAGAGGACCTCATTCACATTGTCCCAGCAGTTGTGCTTGACGCTGCACTCCTTTTGGGGGCCGTTTGTCCCGTCCTGGTGGACTCATCCAGCCTAGGAGATATGGACTTATGGCAGAAAGATGGAAGCAGATACGGCTCAGCTGACGGCGCTGTCTCTTGACAGAAAACCTGTTTGTCACTCAAAAAGAATGTACCTTTGTCCAGTGTACTGCTGTGAGCAGCTTCATCAGACCTTGAGTGTGGAGGCCAGAAGGGGATCCACAGATGTGCATGATAGGAGAGAAAAATCCCAAAGCAGGGAACATGAACAGGAAAAATCCAGCCTGACCTAGGCTTAGGGTTGCAAACTCTGGGTTGGGAAATACCTAGAGATTTTGGGGGTGGTGCCTGGGAAGGTGAGGTTTGGGGAGGAGAGGGTCCTCCGCAGTGTACAATGCCGTCGAGTCCACCTGATTTCTATTGTCTGGAGATCGTCTGTAATAGCAGGAGGTCTTCAGGCCTGACCTGGAGCTTGGCAACCCTACCTGAGCTGTCCAGGGCTTTGCTTTTGTTCAATTTGCACCAAGGCCCCTATAAAGTTTCCCCCACTAAGAAATGGAGCCAGAGGGCCTCTCTAGTGTCGAGCCTCGTCTTACCAAGCTCAATTATGACAGCACAGTAATTTGTGCTCGAAGAGTTTTGTTCAGCCAATTTTACCACCTTGGCCCTTGCCTTCCTATACAAGCAATTTAACGAAGATAGATTCAGGTGGGTAGCCGCGTGTTAGTCTGAAGCAGCAGAACAGAGTTCAAGTCCAGTGGCACCTTTAAGACTGACAACGTTTTATTCAAGGTGTGAGCTTCTGGGTGCACACACACTTCTGTGCACGCACACAAAAGCTTACACCTTGAATGAAACATTGATGGTCTTAAAGGTGCCACTGGACTCGAACTTTGTTCTGAGATATTTAATGGTTCCTCATTATGCTAGAACATTTGCTCTAGCTCTTCTTAACACTAACCCTTCTGAAGTATTGCGTGTTAGGTTTTGTAATGTTCCACATTCAGATCACCTTTGTCCTTGTGCCCTGGCTAAAACTGATGCTTTATCTCATAAAATACTGGAATGTTCCTTTTATACTGTTTTGAGTAATCAATAGATTTCACCTCTTTTTACCATGTTTATCATTCAATAATTCTCAAAGGGATCCTGTTCTCTATCTGATGCTAGACAGTGATCCGAATATAACTTTATTGGTTGAAAAATTCGTATCATATTTTCCTTTACAAACTAATTGAGTACTCTTTTAGTCATTGTTCAAGATATATTGATCAGAGGAGCTCTGAAAAGTAAAGAGAGTAAAAAGAGAGAGACTGCTCTGGAAGAGAACATTGGAATTGTTATTTTGAGAGGAAGCTGAGATCTCTCTACTTTGCAGTATCAGTTGAAGCATGTTTTAAAACTGAAGTCTGGGAAACTACAACTTCCCTGGGGATCGTTGCAGGAAAGCTAAAATGGATACATTAATTACAATTTATAAGGATTATTTATACTCTCATTCCCCCTACTTAGTGGGGCAGTTCCTAGTTTTAGCTCCTCTCCCTAATAAGTCACTCTCTGTATTGCCTTTTGGAGAAAAGACTTTCCTGAACAGGAGCTGCAGTGGCTCAAGTGGTTAAGACACTGAACTGCAGGCCCAGAAGGTCAGTAGTTCGGCAGTTCGAGACCTGAGTGCGGCATGATGGAGCGAGCTTCCGTCTCTGGCCCCAGCTCTTGCCAACCTAGCAGTTCGAAAGCAAGAAATTGCAAGTAGATAAATAGGTACCACTTTGGTGGGAAGGTAACAGTGTTTTGTGCACCTTGGTGTCTAGTCATGCCAGTCACATGACCATGGAAATGTCTTTGGATATCACTGACTCTTTGGCTTGGAAATGGAGATGAGCACTGCATCCCTAGAGGCGGATTCAACTGGCTTTCGAGCAAGGGAAACCTTTACTTTCCTAAACACTGGGCTGGATCTAGGCAGCTTTTTCACTCCACCTCACCCTATTCCCCTCCTTACTATAGGCTCACATAGCCTTTATCCACACAGGTCCCACAATCCTCAGCTTAGCTGTTTTGGGGTAGCTAAAGGGGACCCTGTTTCATAAATTGGTTGAATTCCATGTGTGTGTTCCCGCCACACTTTCTTGAGTTGAACGGCCGACGCTTGGGTCTACCCAATGTGGTGGTAGGATGGGTTGTGCCACCTTGGACAGCAGCTGGGGGATAATTTTTATTGCTCCCTCATGTAAAAGCCCCACTGCAAATGCAAAAGGAACACTCCGAAGAGAAAGGGTTGCAGCCGAGCTCTTTGTCCCCTGTGCTGATTTGCCATTTGCAGAGAAATATTAATGTAGAGAAACTCTGAATGGTGTCATTCCACCTCCCGCTGTCAATGATTTCATGTCTTGCAGTGTATGAGGTCCGTTTATGTTCATTACAACTAGTGTTTCTCTGACCTGAGAAGATGCTGTCTTTGTTCGGTGATCTGCACATAGAGCCAAACAGTGTGTAAAACGCCATTGAGTCACAGCAGACTTATGGTGACCCCAGAGGATTTTCCAGGTAAGAGGCGAACAGAGGTTGCTTGCTATTACCTGCCTCTATGCCCTGGCCCTGGGCTTCCTTGGGGGCCTCCCAACCAAATACTAACCCAGGGCCGATCCTGCTTAGCTTCCGAGATCTGACAAGATCGAGCCAGCATTGACCAGGTTAGGGCAGTGCCTCATACAGTTACATTTAACCCAACCAGAGATTTTGGTAATATGCAATGGTCTCAGTGTGGGTGTTCAGGCAGCAAAGACGGGTGTGTGAGCACAGGGCAAACCGTCTCCCATATTTTTGTTATCTGAAACACTGTAGGAAATATTATAGGCCTGCCCTAAATCCATCTTACTCCAGGTTCGGGGGCTCCCGGTGTCACTATGGTCCCAGCACCCTCTCTCCCTATCTGTGCAGGTGACTGAGGACCATGCTGGGGCTGCTCCTGCTGTCTCTGGGACTCCTGCAGGGAATCCATGCTGCCTTTGCCTCGAGCTCCAGCCACAACCGTCTAGATGAGGTGGGATCCATTCTGGAGGAAGCGGGAAGGGCCGGCTACCCAAGCCTTCTGCAACTGGTCAAAGGGCACCCCCAGGTCAGTTTCCTTACACCGCCCCCCCCCCGCTTGTGCAGCCTCCCTACCTTTGACACAGATCTAACCTCACAAGCAACTATTCTCTTAAGAGTTTGACTAGATCAGACCAGTGGTCCATTTAGTCCTGCATCCTGTTTCACACAGTGAATCTCTTCTTTTCCTTGTGTGGAAATAGTGGTGCTTAACGAGCCTTCTCTTGGCACAGCACTAAAGAAACGCACACCGGTTTGTAATAGAAGAAAAACAGCTGGCAGACCTAGCAGATGGACTGAGCCAAACAGTGTTATACACATCTCTCTGCGAAAAGTGGCTTGGGTTGGGATGAGATAAAATATTCAGCAGATGATTTTATATCCTGAAGGTGAAAACAGGTGTGTTGTGCTTGCTGTCAAGTCGCAGCTGACTTATGGTAACACCAGAGGGTTTTCAAGGCAACAGATGTTCAGAGGTGGTTTGCCATTGCCTAACTCTGCACAGCAACCATGATACCCCTTGGTGGTCTCCCACCCAGATACTGATGAGGGCTGACCCTGCTTAGCTTCCAAGATCTGAGAAGATCAGGCTAACCTGGGCCCTCCAGGTCAGAGCAAAAACAGGTGTAGGGTTCTAAAAACGGCCGGGCTGGATTCATCACTTGCAGAACGAAACCAACTTGTGCTTCAGGTACACATGTGTGTTCAAGCCGGGAAAAAGAGATTGAGTTTCTAGACACTCTCAATGACTGTGCTATGGAGCAGATGGTCACAGAACCTACCAGGGGAGAGGCAATCCTGGATTTCGTCCTAAGTAATGCCCAAGACCAGGTGAGAAATGTATAAGTGATACCACAACTTGGGACGTGACCATAAATGTTATTGAGTTCAACATTTGTATAATTAGGGAGTTGCCCAAAAAGACCAATACAACCGCTTTTAATTTTAAAATTGGTAACTTCTCTGAAATGAGGGGACATGTGAAGAGGAAACTGAAAGGAAAAATAAAAAGGGTCAAAACCACGGGGAAACTTGGGAATTATTTAAAACTACAATCCTAGAAGTTCAGATAATATATTCTGCAGATTAGGAAAGGCACAAATAGGTATAGAAAAAGGCCTGCATGGCTAACAAACAAAGTAATGGAAGCTGTAAAAGGTAAGGAGGATTCCTTTAAGTAGTGGAAAATTAGTCTCAGTGAGGTTGATAAAAGGGAACATAGGCTGTGGCAAATAAAATACAAGTCTGTGATCAGGCAGGCAAAAAGGGAATATGAGGAGCATATTGCAAAAAAACATAAAGACTAACAATAAAACTTCTTCAAATACATTAGAAGCAGGAAACCAGCAAGGGAGGCAGTGGGGCCCTTGAATGACCAAGGGGTAAAAGGAGTACTGAAGGATGATAGGGAAATGGCTGAGAAGCTAAATGCATTTTTTGCCTCTGTCTTCACTGTGGAAGATGAGAAGTGCTTGCCCACTCCAGAACCACTGATTTC